GTTGATGTAGCTTAATACAAAGCAAAGCACTGAAAATGCTTAGATGGATTTTTTTCAATCCCATAAACATAAAAGGTTTGGTCCTAGCCTTATAGTTAGTTAGAGGTAGAGTTACACATGCAAATCTCTATAAACCAGTGTCAAATCCCTAGGTTTTACTTTAAACCCTAAGGAGAGGGTATCAAGCACATACACATATATAGCTAAAGACACCTTGCCTAGCCACACCCCCACGGGACTCAGCAGTGATAAAAATTAAGCCATAAACGAAAGTTTGACTTAGTCATACCTCATCAGGGTTGGTAAATTTCGTGCCAGCCACCGCGGTCATACGATTAACCCAAACTAACTATTCTCCGGCGTAAAATGTGTTTTTATTACGAACATAATAGAATTAAAACCCAACTAATATGTGAAAATTCATTGTTGGACTTAAAATCAATAACGAAAGTAATTCTAATTATATTAATACACGATAGCTAAGATCCAAACTGGGATTAGATACCCCACTATGCTTAGCCCTAAACCTAAGTGATTAAATAACAAAATCACTTGCCTGAGAACTACTGGCCACAGCTTAAAACTCAAAGGACTTGGCGGTACTTTATATCCATCTAGAGGAGCCTGTTCTATAATCGATAAACCCCGTTATACCTTACCACCCCTTGCTAATTCAGCCTATATACCGCCATCTTCAGCAAACCTTAAAAAAGAACAAGAGTAAGCAAGAGAATACCCATAAAAACGTTAGGTCAAGGTGTAGCCTATGGGCTGGGAAGTAATGGGCTACATTTTCTTCTAAAGAACAGTTACGCTATCCTCTATGAAACTTAGAGGACAAAGGAGGATTTAGTAGTAAATTAAGAATAGAGAGCTTAATTGAATAGAGCAATGAAGTACGTACACACCGCCCGTCACCCTCCTCAAATTAAGCTAACTGTTAACTATACCTAATATTGACTCATAAACTTATGAGAGGAGATAAGTCGTAACAAGGTAAGCATACTGGAAAGTGTGCTTGGACTAACCATAAGGTAGCTTAAACCCCATAAAGCATCTGGTCTACACCCAGAAGATTCCACATCCAATGGACATTATGAACTAACTCTAGCCCTCATTTTTTCAATCTATAAAATTTTAACTTACAAATTAAAACATTCACTAAAAGAAGTATTGGAGAAAGAAACTTTTTAAGGAGCCATAGAGATAGTACCGTAAGGGAAAGATGAAAGACTTGTTAAAAGTAAATAAAAGCAAAGATTAAACCTTGTACCTTTTGCATAATGAACTAACTAGAAATCTTCTAACTAAGAGAACTTTAGCTAGAGACCCCGAAACCAAGCGAGCTACCCAAGAGCAACTTTAAGAGTTAACCCGTCTATGTAGCAAAATAGTGGGAAGACTTCTGGGTAGAGGTGAAAAGCCTAACGAGCCTGGTGATAGCTGGTTACCCAATAAAGAATTTTAGTTCAACTTTAAGCCTACCATAAACTTTACTAACACAAATGTAAGCTTAAAATATAGCCTAAAGAGGGACAGCTCTTTAGGAACGGAAACAACCTCTAATAGTGAATAAGACAATCAATCAACTAACCATAGTTGGCTTAAGAGCAGCCATCAATAAAGAAAGCGTTCAAGCTCAACACTTAATAGTACATAATACCCTAAATAAAATCTATTTCCTATCTTCATAACTGGGTTAATCTATTAGCTAATAGAAGCAATACTGTTAGCATGAGTAACAAGAATATTATTCTCCACGCACAAGCCTATAACAACCCGGATAACCATTGTTAGTTAACAAATTATAAGTACATCACCCACTTATAAAAAGTACTTATTATCCAATGTTAGTCCAACACAGGTGTGCTAAAAGGAAAGATTAAAAGAAATAAAAGGAACTCGGCAAACATGAATCCCGCCTGTTTACCAAAAACATAACCTCTAGCATTATAAGTATTAGAGGCAATGCCTGCCCAGTGACTAAGTTAAACGGCCGCGGTATCCTGACCGTGCAAAGGTAGCATAATCACTTGTTCCTTAATTAGGGACTAGTATGAAAGGCTAAACGAGGGTTCAACTGTCTCTTATTTCCAATCAGTGAAATTGACCTTCCCGTGAAGAGGCGGGGATATAATAATAAGACGAGAAGACCCTATGGAGCTTTAATCTCACAACTTAATTTTAATAACAAACAGTCTACTGACTTTAAAAAACTAAATATAAGTTGTAGATTTCGGTTGGGGTGACCTCGGAGAATAAAAAAACCTCCGAATGATTATAACCTAGGCTTACAAGCCAAAGTACAAAATATAATCTTATTGACCCAAACTAATTTGATCAACGGACCAAGTTACCCTAGGGATAACAGCGCAATCCTATTCAAGAGTCCATATCGACAATTAGGGTTTACGACCTCGATGTTGGATCAGGACATCCCAATGGTGTAGCAGCTATTAAAGGTTCGTTTGTTCAACGATTAAAGTCCTACGTGATCTGAGTTCAGACCGGAGTAATCCAGGTCGGTTTCTATCTATTTACGATTTCTCCCAGTACGAAAGGACAAGAGAAATGGGACCTCCTTAATACAAGTGCCCCTGATTAATTAATGAAACCATCTCAATATAGTAAACACGTACTATACCCACCCTAGACAAGGGTTTATTAGGGTGGCAGAGCCCGGAAATTGCGTAAGACTTAAAACCTTGTTTTCAGAGGTTCAAATCCTCTCCCTAATAGTGCATCTAATTAACATTCTAATACTACTTATCCCAATTCTAATCGCAATAGCCTTTCTTACCCTAGTAGAACGAAAAATCTTAGGATATATACAACTACGAAAAGGCCCTAACATCGTTGGCCCATATGGCATCCTCCAACCATTTGCCGACGCTATAAAACTATTTATTAAAGAACCTTTACGTCCTTTAGCCACCTCAACATCCCTATTTATTATTGCCCCCACACTATCACTTATACTTGCATTTAGCCTATGAATTCCTCTACCCATACCTCACCCTTTAATTAATATAAATATAGGCATATTATTTATCTTAGCTATCTCCAGCCTATCCGTATATTCTATCTTATGGTCAGGCTGAGCCTCTAATTCAAAATATTCTATATTTGGAGCCTTACGTGCAATCGCACAAACAATCTCCTACGAAGTAACTATAGCAATCATCTTACTATCAGTCCTTCTAATAAATGGCTCATTTTCCTTACAATTCCTTATTACTACACAAGAGCACACATGACTCTTACTTATATCCTGACCCTTAGCTATAATATGATTTATCTCAACCCTAGCAGAAACCAATCGAGCACCCTTTGATTTAACCGAAGGTGAATCTGAACTAGTTTCAGGGTTTAATGTAGAGTATGCCGCAGGACCATTCGCCCTATTCTTTATAGCTGAGTACACTAATATTATTCTAATAAATGCTCTATCAACAATTGTATTCTTAGGACCAATCCATAGCCTATATCTACCACATGTTTATACAACCGACTTTATAATCAAAACATTGATACTAACTTCCTTATTTTTATGAATTCGAGCATCTTACCCACGATTTCGCTATGATCAACTTATACACCTCCTCTGAAAAAACTTCTTACCCCTGACACTAGCTTTATGTACATGACACATTTCAATTCCTATCTTCATAGCAAGTATTCCACCCTACACTTAGAAATATGTCTGACAAAAGAGTTACTTTGATAGAGTAAATTATAGAGGTTCAAATCCTCTTATTTCTAGGACAGTAGGAATTGAACCCACCTCTTAGAATTCAAAATTCTATGTAATACCAATATACTTCATCCTAAAAGTAAGGTCAGCTAATCAAGCTATCGGGCCCATACCCCGAAAATGTTGGTTTAAACCCTTCCCGTACTAATTAACCCTATTACCCTCTTAATTATTTACTTTACTATTCTCTCAGGCCCAATAGTCACAATACTCAGCAACAACTTCTTTCTTATATGAATTGGTCTAGAAATAAACCTTCTAGCCATTATTCCAGTTATAACTAACAAGTCAAACCCACGAACTACAGAAGCAGCTACAAAATATTTCATCACCCAGGCTACAGCTTCCATAATTTTCCTTCTTTCTATTATCATAAACTATAAACAATTAGGAACATGAACAATTCAACCTCAAACTAGTAGCCTCACATCTACACTAATCTTTATCTCCTTAGCAATCAAATTAGGTCTATCACCCTTCCACGCTTGACTACCAGAAGTAACTCAAGGCATTCCTCTAAGCACAGGACTCCTGCTACTAACTTGACAAAAACTAGCTCCTCTATCTATCTTATTTCAAGTCTACGAACTAATTAACCCACATGTACTAATCATGTCAGCTTGCGCCTCAGTAATAATTGGAGCATGAGGAGGCCTCAATCAAACTCAAACTCGAAAAATCATAGCTTATTCCTCCATCGCCCACATAGGCTGAATAATCTCGATTCTACCCTATAATCCATCCCTTACCATTATTAACCTTATCATTTATATTCTACTAACACTAGCCATATTCTCAATTCTTCACCCCCACTCATTTTTCTCTATCAAATCAACATCACTTCTATGAAATAAATCACCTATTATACTTCCCTTAATGTCCTCTATCCTCTTATCCATAGGAGGGTTGCCCCCTCTTACCGGCTTTCTACCTAAATGACTTATCATTACAGAACTCCTAAAAAACAACAACCAACTACTAGCTTCAATCATAGCAATTCTAGCCCTAGTCAATCTATTCTTTTATACTCGCTTAATTTACTCAACTTCACTTACTACATTCCCTTCCACTAATAACTCTAAAATATTTAACCACCAAAAAAACATAAAAAAATACCCAACCCTACCACTAACTGCAATCACAAGCACGCTAATACTCCCCCTTCTACCCCTAATATTATAGAAGTTTAGGATAAATAAGTCCGATGGCCTTCAAAGCCCTTAGTAAACCCTTAGTTTAACTTCTGCATAGAGATTGTAAGACTATACCTTACATCTAATGAATGCAAATCAATTGCTTTTATTAAGCTAAATCCCCCTAGATTGGCAGGATTCAAACCTACAAAATTTTAGTTAACAGCTAAACACCCAACTACTGGCTTCAATCTACTTCTCCCGCCTATCAGAAAGGGGGCGGGAGAAGCCTTAGTAGAAATATTATCTACACCTTCGAACTTGCAATTCGATATGATTATCACCTTAAGGCCTGGTAAAAAGAGGGTTATAACCTCTGTGCTTAGATTTACAGTCTAATGCTATGCTCAGCCATTCTACCTATGTTCATTAATCGCTGGTTATTTTCAACTAATCATAAAGATATTGGAACACTGTATTTAATATTTGGGGCCTGAGCAGGTATAGTGGGCACTGCTCTTAGCATCTTAATTCGAGCAGAGCTTGGTCAACCTGGGGCTTTACTAGGTGATGATCAAATCTATAATGTAGTTGTAACAGCTCATGCATTTGTTATAATCTTCTTTATGGTTATACCAATAATAATTGGGGGATTTGGAAACTGACTTGTACCACTAATAATTGGAGCCCCTGATATGGCATTCCCTCGAATAAATAACATAAGTTTCTGACTTCTACCCCCCTCATTCCTTCTTTTATTAGCATCATCTATAGTCGAAGCGGGAGCTGGAACTGGTTGAACAGTCTACCCCCCACTAGCAGGAAACTTAGCACATGCTGGAGCATCCGTAGATCTTACTATCTTTTCACTCCATTTGGCTGGAGTATCTTCAATTTTAGGGGCTATCAATTTTATTACTACAATTATTAACATAAAACCCCCAGCCATAACACAGTATCAAACCCCCCTATTTGTCTGATCAGTATTAATCACAGCTGTTTTACTATTATTATCTCTACCTGTCCTAGCTGCTGGAATTACAATGCTACTTACAGATCGTAATTTAAATACAACTTTCTTCGATCCTGCCGGAGGAGGAGATCCAATTCTATACCAACACCTATTTTGATTCTTTGGTCATCCAGAAGTATACATCTTAATCCTACCGGGCTTCGGAATTATTTCACACATTGTTACTTATTACTCCGGAAAAAAAGAACCTTTTGGCTATATAGGTATAGTATGAGCAATAATATCAATTGGATTCCTGGGCTTTATTGTTTGAGCTCATCATATATTTACAGTAGGACTTGACGTAGACACACGAGCCTATTTTACATCAGCCACTATAATTATTGCAATCCCAACTGGAGTAAAAGTATTTAGCTGACTAGCAACGCTTCATGGAGGAAACATCAAGTGATCACCAGCTATACTATGAGCCCTAGGGTTTATCTTCTTATTTACAGTTGGAGGTCTAACAGGTATTGTCTTATCAAACTCATCCTTAGATATTGTATTACATGATACTTATTACGTAGTTGCCCATTTCCACTACGTTCTATCAATAGGAGCTGTATTTGCTATTATAGCAGGCTTTGTTCACTGATTCCCTCTATTTTCAGGCTATACTCTTGACGATACATGAGCAAAAGCCCATTTCATTATTATATTTGTTGGGGTAAACATAACATTCTTCCCTCAACACTTCTTAGGGCTAGCAGGAATACCACGACGCTATTCTGACTACCCAGATGCTTATACTATATGAAACACTGTGTCATCAATAGGATCTTTTATCTCACTAACAGCCGTGCTTGTAATAATCTTTATAATCTGAGAGGCTTTCGCTTCTAAGCGAGAAGTTCTCACAGTAGACTATTCCTCAACGAACCTAGAATGACTTCACGGTTGTCCTCCCCCCTATCATACATTTGAAGAACCTACTTTCGTTAAAGTAAAATAAATGAGAAAGGAAGGATTCGAACCCCCTAAAATTGGTTTCAAGCCAACTCCATAACCTCTATGTCTCTCTCAATGAGATATTAGTAAAATCATTACATAACTTTGTCAGAGTTAAATTATAGACTAATCTCTATATATCTTAAATGGCTTATCCTTCTCAATTAGGCTTACAAGACGCCACATCACCTATTATAGAAGAATTAATAAACTTTCATGATCATACATTAATAATCGTCTTCCTTATTAGTTCTCTGGTCCTATATGTTATTACACTAATATTAACTACTAAGTTAACTCACACAAGTACAATAGATGCACAAGAAGTAGAAACAATCTGAACTATTCTACCTGCAGTAATTCTTATCCTTATTGCCCTACCGTCTTTACGAATTTTGTATATAATAGATGAGATTAACAACCCAGTATTAACAGTGAAAACTATAGGACATCAGTGATACTGAAGTTATGAGTATACAGACTATGAAGACCTATGCTTTGACTCATATATAATCCCTACGACAGATCTAAAACCAGGAGAACTTCGATTACTAGAAGTTGACAATCGAGTTGTACTCCCCATAGAACTACCGATTCGCATGCTAATCTCATCCGAAGACGTTCTTCACTCATGAGCTGTCCCATCTCTTGGATTAAAAACAGATGCAATTCCCGGACGACTAAATCAAGCTACTATTTCATCAAATCGACCAGGGTTATTCTACGGTCAGTGTTCAGAAATCTGTGGGTCTAATCATAGCTTTATACCTATTGTTTTAGAATTAGTCCCTCTTAAATACTTTGAAAACTGATCCGTATCAATAGTCTAAATCACTATGAAGCTCAGAGCGTTAACCTTTTAAGTTAAAATTAGAGACTTCTAGTCTCCATGGTGAAATGCCACAACTAGATACATCTACATGATTTACTACTGTTCTAACTTCTACAATCACACTATTCATCCTAATTCAGTTAAAAATTTCTTTACAGAACTTTCCCAATAAACCATCAAACAAATATCTTAAAACCCTTAAACTAAGTAACCCTTGAGAACTAAAATGAACGAAAATCTTTTCGCCTCTTTCATTACCCCTACAATAATAGGTCTACCTGTTGTAATTATTATTATTATACTCCCATCCATAATACTAACATCTTCTAACCGTCTCTTAAGCAACCGCTTCCATACATTTCAACAATGAGTAGTTAAAATAATTACCAAACAAATAATATCAATTCATTCGCCAAAAGGACAGACTTGATGCCTAATACTAGTTTCCCTAATTATCTTTATTGGCTCAACAAACCTCTTAGGCTTATTACCTCATACCTTCACCCCAACAACCCAACTATCAATAAATCTAGGAATAGCAATTCCACTATGAGCAGGAACAGTTTTCCTCGGATTTCGCCACAAAATAAAAAGCACATTAGCCCATTTCCTACCGCAAGGAACACCTATTCCTCTTATTCCTATACTCATTATTATTGAAACAATCAGCCTATTTATTCAACCCATAGCCCTTGCAGTTCGACTAACAGCCAATATTACTGCAGGACATTTACTCATACATCTTATCGGAGGGGCAACCCTAGTTTTAACCTCTATCAGTCCCCCAACAGCTATAATTACATTTATCATTCTTGTACTCCTAACTATTCTAGAATTTGCTGTTGCCCTAATTCAAGCATATGTGTTTACTCTACTAGTAAGCTTATATCTACATGATAATACTTAATGACCCACCAAACTCATGCCTATCACATAGTTAACCCAAGCCCATGGCCCCTCACAGGAGCACTCTCTGCCCTCCTTCTTACCTCAGGATTAGCAATATGATTCCATTATAACACTCTTACACTTCTTTATCTAGGCCTCTTAACTAATATACTAACAATATACCAATGATGACGAGATATCGTTCGTGAAGGTACCTACCAAGGCCACCATACACCCATCGTCCAAAAAGGCCTTCGATATGGCATAATTCTCTTTATTGTCTCAGAAGTCTTCTTTTTCGCTGGTTTCTTCTGAGCCTTTTATCACTCTAGCTTAGTTCCTACCCACGACCTAGGAGGCTGCTGACCACCTACAGGAATTATTCCACTTAATCCACTTGAAGTACCCTTACTTAACACATCTGTACTTTTAGCATCTGGTGTCTCAATTACATGAGCTCATCATAGCCTTATAGAAGGTAAACGAAATAATATAAATCAAGCTTTACTTATTACTATTGGCTTAGGAGTATATTTTACAGCTCTTCAAGCGTCAGAATACTTAGAGACTTCCTTTTCTATTTCAGATGGTATCTATGGATCAACATTTTTTATAGCAACAGGCTTTCATGGCCTTCATGTAATTATCGGATCCACATTCCTTATGGTGTGCCTTTTACGTCAACTAAAATATCACTTTACATCAAAACACCATTTCGGCTTTGAAGCAGCAGCTTGATACTGACACTTTGTAGATGTCGTATGACTATTCCTCTACGTTTCTATCTATTGATGAGGGTCGTACTTTCTTAGTATATTTAGTACAGTTGACTTCCAATCAACTAGGTCCAACTATAATTTGGAAGAAAGTAATTAACTTAATCCTAGCAGTTTCAATCAACATAATACTCTCATTAATTTTAATTCTAGTTGCCTTCTGGCTTCCCCAACTTAATGTATATGCAGAAAAAGCAAGTCCCTATGAATGTGGTTTTGACCCCATAAGCTCAGCTCGACTCCCTTTCTCTATAAAATTTTTTCTTGTAGCTATTACATTTCTTTTATTTGACTTAGAAATTGCTCTCCTCCTCCCCCTACCTTGAGCCATACAATCTACAAACCTTAAAACAACTCTAATTATCTCTACAATATTTCTATCTATTCTAGCGCTAGGCTTAGCCTATGAATGAAAACAAAAAGGCCTTGAATGGACTGAATAGTTGGTGATTAGTTTAACTAAAATTAATGATTTCGACTCATTAGATTATGACATATCTCATAATCACCAACATGACAACTACTCTATTTAATATTACATTAGCATTCGTATTTTCATTAATTGGAACTCTTATGTTTCGCTCACACCTCATATCTACACTTCTATGCCTAGAGGGAATAATATTAACCTTATTTATTATACTCACTATCACCTCATTAAACATCCACTCAATAATCACATATCCTATCCCTATTGTTATCCTAGTATTTGCGGCATGCGAAGCAGCAGTTGGACTCGCCCTATTAGTTAAAGTATCCTCTACATATGGAATAGACTATGTACAAAATCTTAACTTACTACAATGCTAAAAATTATTGTACCTTCATTAATATTACTACCATTGACATGATTTTCTAGTAGTAAAAAAGTGTGAATCAACGTAACAGCCTATAGTTTTTTAATTAATATCATTGCTATAACAACATTATGACAAAACAGCGACGGAACTTTAAACTTCTCCTCCATATTTTCTATAGACTCCCTATCCTCACCTCTTACAGCCCTTACTATTTGACTTCTACCATTAATACTCCTAGCTAGTCAAAAACATATTAAAAAAGAAACCGTACTTAATAAAAAGCTTTATATCTCCATACTTGTAACCTTACAAATTCTTCTAATTATGACATTTTCTGCTAATGAATTAATCATATTTTATATCCTTTTTGAAGCTACTTTAATCCCAACATTAATTATTATTACCCGATGAGGAAATCAAACAGAACGATTAAACGCAGGATTGTACTTCTTATTTTACACATTAATTGGTTCCATTCCCCTTCTCATCGCTCTTATTTCAATTCAAAAATCCCTAGGAACATTAAATATTCTACTTTTATCACTAAACACTTCAACACTAGATAACAACTGGTCTAATTACATCCTATGATTAGCATGTATAATAGCTTTTATAATTAAAATGCCTCTATATGGAGTTCACTTATGACTACCCAAAGCTCATGTAGAAGCTCCTATTGCAGGATCAATAATTCTAGCTGCAATTTTACTGAAACTAGGTGGTTACGGAATAATACGAGTATCAATTATCCTTGATCCTATAACAGAGACTATAGCATATCCCTTCATTCTTTTATCACTATGAGGTATACTTATAACAAGTTCTATCTGCCTACGACAAACAGATCTAAAGTCATTAATCGCTTACTCTTCAGTAAGTCATATAGCACTAGTTATTGCAGCTATTATAATTCAAACTCCCTGAAGTTTTATAGGAGCCTCAGCATTAATAATCGCACATGGACTCACATCATCACTATTATTCTGCCTAGCAAATACTAACTATGAACGAATCCATAGTCGAACTATAATTATAGCCCGAGGCCTTCAAACAGCATTCCCTCTAATAGCAACTCTATGATTTCTAGGAAGCCTGGCAAACCTAGCCTTACCCCCTTCAATTAACCTAATTGGAGAACTACTTATTACAATTACACTATTCTCCTGATCACACCTGTCAATCATTCTTGTAGGTACAAATATCCTAATTACAGCTCTATACTCACTCTATATACTTATCATAACCCAACGAGGAAAACTTACATTTCATATAAACAACCTCCAACCTTCCTACACACGAGAGTTAACCCTAATAATACTACACATCACACCTCTAATCCTACTTATCATGAACCCTAAACTAATTCTAGGTCCCACATTATGTAGGCATAGTTTACTAAAATATTAGATTGTGGATCTGAAGATAGGAGATAAAACTCCTTACCTACCGAGAATGTATGCAAGAGCTGCTAACTCCTGCTACCATGTATAATAACATGGCTTTCTTACTTTTATAGGATAGTAGTAATCCGTTGGTCTTAGGAATCAAAAACTTGGTGCAACTCCAAATGAAAGTAATTAACCCTATCACATCTGTAATCATCCTAATCTTTGTAGCTCTAATACTTCCTATTATATTATCCTCAACTAACATCTATAAAACCTATAGCTTCTCTAATCACGCTACATCAATAATTAAGTACTCATTTATATTAAGCCTTATTCCACTATGCACTCTATTTTATTCCAATACCGAACTTCTAATTACCAGTTGACACTGAGTAACTATCAATACAATTAAATTATCCATTAACCTTAAATTTGACTTCTTCTGTATCATTTTCCTATCAGTAGCCCTATTCGTCACCTGATCCATTATAGAATTTTCCTCATGATATATACATTCCGACCCCAACTTAAATCGATTTATTAAATACCTACTACTATTTCTTATTACCATAATTATTCTCACTTCAGCTAATAACATGTTCCAACTATTCGTAGGCTGAGAAGGCGTGGGGATTATATCTTTTCTACTAATCGGCTGATGATACGGACGATCTGATGCTAACACAGCAGCACTACAAGCTATCCTCTATAATCGCATTGGCGACATCGGCTTTATCGCTACAATAGCTTGACTGAGCCTAAACATAAATTCATGGGAATTTCAACAAATCTTTATAACAAATAACAACAGCATTATCCCGCTGCTAGGTCTTTTAATTGCAGCCATAGGTAAATCAGCACAATTTGGCCTTCATCCATGACTTCCATCAGCTATAGAAGGCCCCACTCCAGTTTCAGCATTACTCCACTCAAGCACAATAGTGGTGGCAGGAATTTTCCTTTTAATTCGTTTTCATCCACTGATATCTAATAACAACATGGCCCTAACCATGATACTCTGCCTAGGATCAATTACCACATTATTTACAGCAATCTGTGCTCTAACTCAAAATGACATTAAGAAAATTGTAGCCTTCTCTACATCAAGCCAGTTAGGACTTATAATAGTTACACTAGGAATCAATCAACCATATTTAGCATTCCTTCACATTTGTACTCACGCTTTCTTTAAAGCCATGCTATTTATATGCTCTGGATCAATTATCCACAACCTAAATGATGAACAAGACATCCGAAAAATAGGGGGTCTCTTAAAACCCCTACCATTTACATCCTCTTGTCTTATTATTGGAAGTTTAGCTTTAACAGGAGTTCCATTTCTTACAGGTTTTTATTCAAAAGATCTAATCATTGAAGCCATAAACACGTGTTATACCAACGCCTGAGCCCTTCTAGTCACACTTCTAGCTACCTCTCTAACAGCTGCTTACAGCCTACGAATTATCTTCTTTGCTCTAATATCAAAACCTCGCTACCTACCCCTAATTACACTAAACGAAAATAACCCCAAACTTATAAACCCCATTAAACGCTTAGCCATAGGAAGTATATTTGCAGGATTTATCATGACATACAACATCCCAACTACATCTATTCAAGTAATAACTATACCCTGATACTTAAAAACAACAGCAATCTTAGTCACTCTAATAGGATTCACTATCGCTTTAGAACTAAACAACCTAACATATAATCTAAAATCAAATACATCAACACTAACAAACTTATTCTCCACATCACTAGGGTATTTCACCCTTATCTTCCACCGCTTATTACCCAAAAAATTCCTAACTATAAGCTTTAACACACCCCTAAACATACTAGACTTAACATGACTGGAAACTTCTATCCCCAAAGCCATCTCATATATAAATCTCACAGCCTCCCAAATCCTTGCCAACCAAAAAGGTTTAATTAAACTTTACTTCATATCCTTCCTCATTACTCTCCTTTCGATTCCTATTTTACTAATTAGTTTCCACGAGTAATCTCAATAATAATAAAAATACCCATAAATAAAGTTCAACCAGATACTACTATTAATCATGCAGAACAACTGTATAAAGCTGCTACTCCAGCTCCCCCATCTCCTATTAAACCTAACTCATCTCCATCATAAACTACCCAACCACCCATACTATTAAAATTCAAGACTACCTCTACTCCCTCATAGTAATTAGTTACAAATGTTATCCCTAACTCTATAAAGATACTTATTACTAAAACTCCAAATATTAACCAACTAGATACTCACGTTTCAGGATATTCTTCAGCTGACATAGCAGTTGTATACCCAAATACAACCATCATTCCACCTAAATAAATTAAAAATACTATTAACCCTAAAAACGACCCCCCAAGACCTATCACCGCTAAGCAACCAGCACACCCACTAATAATCAAACATATCCCCCCATAAATAGGTGAAGGCTTCAAAGATGTGCCTAAACACCCCAATGCAATAAATGAACTTAAAATGAGAATTGATTCTATCATAGTTTCTACACAGATACTATCTATGACTAATGACATGAAAAATCATCGTTGTAATTCAACTATAGAAACATTAATGACAAACATTCGAAAAAAACATCCTCTAATAAAAATTATTAACCACTCATTCATTGATCTTCCAACTCCATCTAATATCTCATCATGATGAAACTTTGGATCCTTAATTGGACTTTGCCTAATTATTCAAATCCTTACAGGCCTATTCCTAGCCATACACTATACATCAGACACTACTACAGCCTTCTCATCAGTAGCACATATTTGTCGAGACGTAAACTATGGTTGACTAATTCGCTATCTTCATGCTAATGGAGCTTCAATATTCTTTATTTGCTTATTTCTTCATGTCGGTCGGGGTATCTACTATGGCTCATATACTATAGTAGAAACTTGAAACGTTGGAATTGTTTTACTATTCGCAGTTATAGCTACAGCATTCGTAGGCTACGTACTACCATGAGGCCAAATATCATTTTGAGGAGCTACAGTCATCACTAATCTTCTATCAGCTATCCCTTACATCGGCACAACTCTAGTAGAATGAATTTGAGGCGGGTTTTCAGTCGATAAAGCCACACTAACTCGATTCTTTGCATTTCATTTCATTCTCCCATTTATTGTAACAGCACTTGTTCTAGTTCACCTTCTATTCTTACATGAAACAGGATCTAATAACCCATCAGGCCTAAACTCAGATGCAGATAAAATCCCATTTCACCCTTATTATACAATTAAAGACCTCTTAGGTGTATTCCTACTATTGATTGCCCTCATAACTTTAGTATTGTTTTTCCCAGATGTTCTCGGAGACCCAGATAATTATACTCCTGCAAATCCACTTAATACTCCAGCACATATTAAACCAGAATGATATTTTCTATTCGCATACGCTATCTTACGATCTATCCCCAATAAACTAGGCGGAGTTCTAGCTCTAATTCTCTCCATCCTAGTCCTAGCTGCTCTACCCCTTCTTCATACATCAAAACATCGAGCTATAATCTTCCGACCTATCACACAAACTATATACTGAATTCTAGTCGCAGACTTACTTTTACTAACTTGAATCGGAGGACAACCTGTAGAATATCCATTTATCATTATTGGCCAACTAGCCTCAATCGCTTATTTCGCTATTATTATTATCTTCATACCAATTGCAAGCATAATCGAAGATAGCATTCTAAAATTCATTTGTCTTGATAGTATAATAATTACTCTGGTCTTGTAAGCCAGAAATGAAGATTAAATCTTCTCAAGGCATCAAGAAGGAAGGACTATCCCCCACCTTCAGCACCCAAAGCTGAAATTCTAGTTGAACTACTTCTTGTACATAAATTTATCTAGTCCATAATACATTTATGTATATCGTACATTATATTATTTTCCCCTAGCATATAAGCATGTCCTATTTAATTAATGTCTCTAAGACATATTATGATTAATCAACATTACTTGTACTAAACCATGTCTATTATAGTATTACTATATATGAATGATCTTTAAACATACCTGTGTTATCTTACATACCACATTCAGTCATAACCCTGCTTGTCCATATGACTATCCCCTTCCCCATGTGGTCTATCTATCTACCATCCTCCGAGAAACCAGCAACCCGCCCATATCTGCCCCTCTTCTCGCTCCGGGCCCATTTTAACTTGGGGGTGACTATACTGAAACTTTATCAGGCATCTGGTTCTTACTTCAGGGCCATAGAATGTTTTATCGTCCATACGTTCCCCTTAAATAAGACATCTCGATGGTTACGGGTCTAATCAGCCCATGCCCAACATAACTGTAATCTCGGGCCTTTGGTATTTTTTAATTTTCGGTGTGCGTTACTCCACTAGTCGTGAGGTCAGCTTATCTTGTAGCCATACTTTTTCACTCAAGGGGAAAGCCATTAATCCTCATGGGACTCGTCCAAAGACATATTATGAATGGTTTCTCGGACATATACAATTATTTGACTTAATTCCTATATCAAACCCCCCCTTCCCCCAACTTAGCAGCATTCCTTCTGACAAACCCCAAAAGCAGAGATCCAACTACCAAGGCCCCCTCCCACATTCTAGTAATCCTCCGAACATAACTTAAAACCCAGTATTCGTACAAAAAAATCCCTTCAAACCGTCGCTTGAATTTGCCTATGTGTGCCAAAAATTATCCAGGTAGTACGAAGTACATATTTA